AAATAATGGTGCTTTCTGTCGATTCGGTCTTGAACTTGAGCGCATCGCATAAATGAACTGAAACTCAGTGTATATTGAGTGTATACAGTGAATGAACAGATGCCAATGGAAAATAAATATTCTCCGTCTTAATATCTCCAGCCGAAAACACAGAAAACATAAATGAAATGATACCAATAAATGATTCAAATGTTCAGACAGTCTCCTCCAGTTTTTTCACGTCATCATTATCATTATATTTGCTGGTGCGCGGTGTCCATGTGTGCGCTGATTAGGCTATGTATTTTATATAGGCAATTAAAGGCACATTGTTATGATTCATGGATTATTCATATAAACTCGCGATTAGTCGACTAATTGCTTAAATGAACGACTACTAGTCGACTAGAAAAATCTTTAGTCGAGGGCAGCCCTAGAAAGTACTAAACCTGAACTGAGGGAAACCAGCGCCAGAGACTCTCAGATCACACACAAGCTCCAGTGTTTCACAATCATAGTGTTTGACACCATTCATCTTTGGTGCTTTCTTTAATTACACCGTTCCCTGGAGATCGAGCGGGGTAGTTAACCAGTCAAACAAGCAGTAAAGCAATTATTGGGTCAGAATGAATACAATTCTGACATCTTTAATCACTAGGGGAGTCTGTGCCTGGAGAAAAACAGGAGAATTCACTGAGATGAAGTCCTGTTGCTGTTTAACACTAAAGTAATAAAGCTTGTGGATCTTCTGAGATCGTCTCTAATGTTGAACCTTTAACCTCAGGCTGTGGTTTCACTGTCCTGCGGTCAAGCTTTAGTTTGCTGTTTAATCCATGTGTTTATTCATGTAACAGCGCTGATAATGTGATAATGGTCTAGATCAGAGGTTCTCAACTGGTGGATCACGACCCAAACATGTGGTTCAGTTGCTGTAAGACACGCTATAACCCAGCAAGCAATATCCGTCATTTCACCATCTAGGTTAACTATAGACCCGATATAGCCCGGCTATGAGTAGGTTAACTATAGACCCGATATAGTCCGGCTATGAGTAGGTTAACTATAGACCCGATATAGTCCGGCTATGAGTAGGTTAACTATAGACCCGATATAGTCCGGCTATGAGTAGGTTAACTATAGACCCGATATAGTCCGGCTATGAGTAGGTTAACTATAGACCCGATATAGTCCGGCTATGAGTAGGTTAACTATAGACCCGATATAGCCCGGCTATGAGTAGGTTAACTATAGACCCGATATAGCCCGGCTATGAGTAGGTTAACTATAGACCCGATATAGTCCGGCTATGAGTAGGTTAACTATAGACCCGATATAGTCCAGCTATGAGTAGGTTAACTATAGACCCGATATAGTCCAGCTATGAGTAGGTTAACTATAGACCCGATATAGTCCGGCTGTGAGTAGGTTAACTATAGACCCGATATAGTCCAGCTATGAGTAGGTTAACTATAGACCCGATATAGTCCGGCTATGAGTAGGTTAACTATAGACCCGATATAGTCCGGCTATGAGTAGGTTAACTATAGACCCGATATAGTCCAGCTATGAGTAGGTTAACTATAGACCCGATATAGTCCGGCTGTGAGTAGGTTAACTATAGACCCGATATAGTCCGGCTATGAGTAGGTTAACTATAGACCCGATATAGTCCAGCTATGAGTAGGTTAACTATAGACCCGATATAGTCCGGCTATGAGTAGGTTAACTATAGACCCGATATAGTCCAGCTATGAGTAGGTTAACTATAGACCCGATATAGTCCGGCTATGAGTAGGTTAACTATAGACCCGATATAGTCCGGCTATGAGTAGGTTAACTATAGACCCGATATAGTCCAGCTATGAGTAGGTTAACTATAGACCCGATATAGTCCGGCTATGAGTAGGTTAACTATAGACCCGATATAGTCCGGCTATGAGTAGGTTAACTATAGACCCGATATAGTCCAGCTATGAGTAGGTTAACTATAGACCCGATATAGTCCAGCTATGAGTAGGTTAACTATAGACCCGATATAGTCCGGCTGTGAGTAGGTTAACTATAGACCCGATATAGTCCAGCTATGAGTAGGTTAACTATAGACCCGATATAGTCCGGCTATGAGTAGGTTAACTATAGACCCGATATAGTCCAGCTATGAGTAGGTTAACTATAGACCCGATATAGTCCAGCTATGAGTAGGTTAACTATAGACCCGATATAGTCCAGCTATGAGTAGGTTAACTATAGACCCGATATAGTCCGGCTATGAGTAGGTTAACTATAGACCCGATATAGTCCAGCTATGAGTAGGTTAACTATAGACCCGATATAGTCCGGCTATGAGTAGGTTAACTATAGACCCGATATAGTCCAGCTATGAGTAGGTTAACTATAGACCCGATATAGTCCAGCTATGAGTAGGTTAACTATAGACCCGATATAGTCCGGCTATGAGTAGGTTAACTATAGACCCGATATAGTCCGGCTATGAGTAGGTTAACTATAGACCCGATATAGTCCGGCTGTGAGTAGGTCAGTGTTAATTTTGTCAGCAAATTTTGATTTAGTTTTAGTCTTAGTCTTTTGACTAAAATGGCATTTAGTTTTAGTCATATTTTAGTCATCTGAATTGTTTTAGTTTTAGTCTAGTTTTAGTCGACGAAATACAATAACATTTTAGTCGACTAAATCTACAGTAGATTTAGTCGACTAAAATATAATGGGTTTAGTTCAATTGTAATGCGTTAATTTAGAATTTCTCTAAAATTTCCAAACCCATTTACTCCCGGAGAAAACATCTATTAACCTATTAATATGAATGATTTTTAAGTTTGAACATGCAATACAGATACAGATTTAACTGCTGTTACTTAAAAAATATCTTAAAATGAAATAAAACCACTTTTCCTAAAGTACAACACAGTCTTCTTTACAATGAATGATATATGCATTCCTTATAACTACTTACACATCATTCTTTATTCTTTCAAGCAGACATATTTATTTGTATGAATTCAATATAATTAATCCTTATTAAAGCTATTAACAAACAGTGAATGCTTTTCTCTTTTTCTTTTGTTGCTTGATCAAAATTAAGGACACGGACCGCATTATGTTTATTGCCACTGTCACTTTAAGACGTCGGATCATGTCCAATGACATGCGGATACAATTGCACTGATGCACATCCGATACACTCACAGTTTAAGACATAACCAGCATAGTTTACATGAATACTCTCTAAAACGGACATTTAGACAGACTGTTGTGTGTATTTGTCCATTCAGACACGAAAGAGAGCTCAATTCAGTAGCCTACTCGCGCGCTGTAGGTGTATTGTGCATGACTGCACGCTTCGGGTTAGGTGTGTGCGCACAGAAAACCGCACCGAATAGAGCTCTTTTTTTGCATCGTCACTCTTATTCAGATCTATATGTCTGCTCTACTCATTCTCCCAGACGTTCACATTTTTTAACGTTTTATGACCGCGGGGTAAATCACGTTACAGTAGCCTACAAATGTGCGCATCTATCACACACGCTCAGGACATCAGTTCTGACGGATCGCTTCCCAAATCGTCACTATCTAACATTTTCGTCTAGTTTTTATTCGTTGACGAAAATGTCATTAGATTTTCGTCATAGTCTTTGTCATTCAAAACTAGGTTTTATTTAGTTATCGTCTCGTTTTCGTCTGTGAAAAAATGTCGTTGACGAATAATTTTCGTCGTTATTTTCGTCAACGAAATTAACACTGGAGTAGGTTAACTATAGACCCGATATAGTCCAGCTATGAGTAGGTTAACTATAGACCCGATATAGTCCGGCTATGAGTAGGTTAACTATAGACCCGATATAGTCCAGCTATGAGTAGGTTAACTATAGACCCGATATAGTCCGGCTATGAGTAGGTTAACTATAGACCCGATATAGTCCAGCTATGAGTAGGTTAACTATAGACCCGATATAGTCCAGCTATGAGTAGGTTAACTATAGACCCGATATAGTCCGGCTATGAGTAGGTTAACTATAGACCCGATATAGTCCGGCTATGAGTAGGTTAACTATAGACCCGATATAGTCCAGCTATGAGTAGGTTAACTATAGACCCGATATAGTCCAGCTATGAGTAGGTTAACTATAGACCCGATATAGTCCGGCTGTGAGTAGGTTAACTATAGACCCGATATAGTCCAGCTATGAGTAGGTTAACTATAGACCCGATATAGTCCGGCTATGAGTAGGTTAACTATAGACCCGATATAGTCCGGCTATGAGTAGGTTAACTATAGACCCGATATAGTCCGGCTGTGAGTAGGTTAACTATAGACCCGATATAGTCCGGCTGTGAGTAGGTTAACTATAGACCCGATATAGTCCGGCTATGAGTAGGTTAACTATAGACCCGATATAGTCCGGCTGTGAGTAGGTTAACTATAGACCCGATATAGTCCAGCTATGAGTAGGTTAACTATAGACCCGATATAGTCCGGCTATGAGTAGGTTAACTATAGACCCGATATAGTCCAGCTATGAATAGGTTTACTATAGACCCGATATAGTCCGGCTATGAGTAGGTTAACTATAGACCCGATATAGTCCGGCTATGAGTAACACACTTCTAGCCAAAATAACCTTGAATTTGATTACATGTCGTTTTTGGCAGAATAACTTGCTAGATGTATCATGTAACATCATGTAAGCAAATGTCTATGAAATTTTCACAGACAGCCCAAATTTTGCCTTGTTTTAGCCTAGACATGAGGCTGTGTTTGGACACTATTAGACGTCTTTTAACCGCAAAATTGCTTGCTGGGAGAACTGTTCTGATCAGGAGAAACGCTTTCCATGTGGTTGTTGAGGTCAAAGATATCAGACGGGTTGCGATCCTCAAAAACCATCATCTTTAAGATAAAAGAATGGAAGCACTGCAGTAAAACGAGTCCAGCACGGTTGAGAGGGTCTGGTCTAGAAGCTTCTTCTGCTCAGGGGTTCCTCATGTGGTTCTGTGTTTTGCAGCTTCAGAAAGAGCTGGATCAGGAATATCAGGACAAGTTCCGGAGGCTCCCGGTGGAAATCCAGGAGTTCGTTCAGGATTCTGCTGCCTGTAAAGCCCAGTCAAGGAACAGCAGAGACGGTCTTCCCGTTTCCACGGAAACGCTCCGGTCGGAGTCGGGATCTTCTGAGAAAGCATTCGACACGACACTCTGAGCTTGAGTTTGTTCTTCGTACGCTGTTGAGTTTCCCTGGTTTAATGTGCACCTTTAGTATGACGACTGGATGACCTACTTGAACAACATAAAAAAAATTATATTTCTTTTTTTCTTACTTTTAAAACTTAGTTTTTACAAGAACTTGCTGCTTATGTGGATTTAAATATGCGTTTATGTTTAGACGAGTCTTACTGTCTGAGTCTCTTGCTGATGTCTGAGCAGTTATTTAATATGAAATGTTAGACTACTTAAGCGCACTACTTAGGTCACATCCAGACATGGCTGCCACAGTTTAGACTTTATATGAATTTGTTTCTTTTATATA